CAGTCAGCTTCGCCATGTCGGGGACAAACTGGCGCACGTAGTTGACGAACCCCAGAAAACTCTGCAGCTCGGTCAAGTTGGTCGGCGCGTGCCATGCTTGAATCGTCGCAATCACATTCGGGTCTATTTCCACTCCTGCAGCTGAAATAATGTGTCCCAAAAACTCCAGTCGGTCCTGTAAAAACTTACACTTATACGCTTTGGTCGGTAGGCGGTTCTCACTCAGTATCTTAAAAACTGCTTCGTTGTCCTGTAAGTGCTGTGCTCTGTCGGGGCTGTAAATCAGTATGTCGTCAAGGTACACAATGACGCACTTATCTAAAAGCGGGCGGAAGGCTTCGTTCATGGTCATTTGAAAAGTGGCGGGGGCGTTGGTCAGTCCGAAGGGCATGACGGTGTATTCGAAGGATCCGTAGCGTGTTCGGAAGGCTGTCTTGGGGCAGTCGGGTGGGTTGACGCGGATCTGGTGGTAACCTCCCCGAAGGTCGATTTTCGAGAACACCCGGGCTGTGCGCAGTTGGTCGATCAGTTCGTCGGCTCTTGGAATGGGGTAACGGGATTTTATGGTAACCCTGTTTAGTGCTCTGTAGTCTATGCACATGCGAAAACCCCCGTCCTTTTTCGGTGTGAACAGTATTGGTGCGGCGAAGGGTGACGAACTAGGGCGAATGAACTCCTTCTCGAGCAGGTAATCCAGCTGCTTCCGCAGTTCGTCCAGTTCGGGTTGGGTCAGTCGGAACTGTCGCTGTACTGTTGGCTGTGCCCCCGGTTCTAGTTATATCCTATGGTCGTGCGGTCGCTGAGGTGGCAGTCCCGTCGGTAGGTCGTCCGGAAAAATGTCACTGTACTGCTTCAACAGTGCTGCCAGATCACCCGGTACGTCGGCTAGCAGTTTCTGTAAATCCCCCCCTTTGTCTGCTACCTCGGCTTCCCGAATGTCAACCGCATACACGTCAGCTCCTGCCGCTACGGCGCGTTTCATCGTGATCGCCTTGACACGCACCGACGAAGACTCAGGCGAGCCCCAGCGAGGTAAGGCGATGTTGTTACCGTTCACTCGCACAGTGCAGTCACCCGTCGTCCAGTCGATTCGCGGGTTGTGCCGTCGCAGCCAATCACGGCCGAGTAAAATGTCAGTTCCGTCGAGGGTCGTTGCGAGCATTTCCTGGCTAAACGTGAAGTTACCCCCGCATCGAATCCGAACTCGGTCCACACGTTCCCGTATCGCCAGTGGCGTGCCGTCGACCAGTCTTGCGTCTATCTCAGGTAAACATCTGTCCAGTGGCAGTCGCAGTTTTCGTGCTGTGGCAGTGTTGATAAGGCTGTGGCTGGCCCCTCCGTCTACGAAGATTTTATCTAAGTCTGTCCCGATTTTCCCACTAAGCAGTATAGGGCTATCTACCGTAGTACCCTCCTTATTCGACCGGGTGTGGTCGATTGCGTGAACCGGCACAATCACTCGGTGAGGGTCGGTTGGGTCGGGCGAGCGGCGTGACCTGACAGTAGAGGGCCCATCTGCTACTGACTCCCAGCGTTTCCCTGCTGCTTGGTCTGTTTCTGCTACTCAGCTTCCCCCTTTCCCTTAGCATTTTCCGGGCATTCGCTCTTACGGTGTCTCGGTTGATTGCACGCAAAGCAGCGCCCTTTGAATGGTGCGGCAGCGGCATTTGCAGCGACGGCACGTATCGTAGCGCCCTCGTTCGTCCCACGAGGCCGATGTCCCCAATTGCTGCTTCGGTAGGACCCCGGTCTCGGTCGGCGGAAGAAGTCAAGTTTCTCCGCCATAGCGAGAATTTCTCGAAAATCAGTGACGCCGCGAAGCTGGATTTCCTGATTGATGTCCTGCTTCAGGCCGCCGATGTAGCGGTCGATGCGCTCGCTCTCGTGCATGTATCCCACCTGTTCGCAGAGCGCCAGAAATCCGCTCGTATAGTCCTGGACGGAACCAAGTTGGCGCCAAGTGCGGAGCCTCTGTCGCGCCGCGATCGAAGCCGCAATTGGCTCGAAACGAGCGCGCAGACCTGCGCACCACGCGTCCCACGTGCGATACTGGGGCACCTCCACGAAATGCGATAGAACCCAGAGTCCGGTTTGTCCTTCCCGTGTCGGTAGAGTCGCGTAGTCCACCGGCTTCGTGACGATGACACGCCACCAGTCCATGGCGGGTCCTCGCAGCAACGACACGGCGTAGCGAATCTTCGCCGTATCCTCCGAGACGTAGTTCGCGTAAAAAAAGACGTTCAACGTGAAGTGCCACGCCTGAACGGTAGGACCACCCCGCTGACTTGGGTCAAAGCATGGCGGACTCTGCGGCTTCAGCGGCATCGGCGACGGTAGAGTTGATTCGCCGGCCGGCACCGAAATCGTGACTCGAGGCTGATTCCTGGCCGCATTCGTCGCGTCGGGGTGTGTCGTGCCGTAGTCGTCGTCTCTGTCATGGCGGACGACGCCATCACTAGCTGCGCTCGCGGGTTGCCCCACACTTCCGTGTTGCGATGTCTGTGGTGCGGGCTGCATCGGAGTGCCAGGTGCTTGGGATTGTGTTCGTGCGATGTCATTTTGCAGGGAGGTGCGTTCCGCCGTTAATGCCGCGATTTCTTCGGAGTTTTCGTGCAGTTGTCTCGGTAGCTCGTCCAGGCGGTCCTGCGTAAGGCTGGTGACATCGATATGCTCTGCCATTCCGAAGGGCGTCGGCTCGTCTTAGTCTAGGCGCAGTCGTGGCTGCACCGTTTACGAGAGAACGCGAGGACAGCGGCTCCTAGGTGCTAAGGTGCGTGAGTCCCTTCAAGTGAAAAATCAAAAGTTGATTTCCTGGGGTGCGGAGTGTCAAAATAGTAGGCACGATGAGGAGCCATAGCTAGGGTTTACCTAGCTAGGCAAGAGAGAACTGAGCAAAGGAGGGTTTGACTAGCAACAGTTGGGATACAAATAGGAAACCCTAAGGGGCCGTACTCACTACAGAGTACCCCACTGCAGGCTAGACAAGCATTATAATCTGACACACCCCCATAGTCAAAGTGGGGTATAATCAGCACAGCAAGCAGTCATAGAGCAGGTTCACAAGGACAAGCAAAGCTAGAGGCATTCACAAAGGGCAAGTGAGGAGGAGGAGGCGGGACTGTAAGAGGATAGAAGATATGAGGCGACGGCTGAAGCTGCAGACACACGGGCAACAGGAGCGGCTGGCACAGTGGCTACCGGGACAGCGCCCCGGACTACTGGAGTAACTGGCTCGGCGGCTACGAAGAGCGGCAGGAGCAACGGACCCACGGGCGACAGGCGCAGCAGGCTCTCTGGGCTACCAGGACAGCGCCCCGGACTACAGGTGCTGCGGACGACAAGACGGCAGCCTCCACTCAACCTCCCCCGACCGTCCCACACCCCTCTCACACACCCCCTGCTGAAACCCTAGCTCCACTCCCACGGCACCCCCCTTAAACCCTAAACCCTCGGCTCCCACACACCCACCCCCCTCAGCGGCAGCTGCAGCAGTGGGAGACGGAGGAGGAGGAGGAGCTGCAGGTTACCCACACCGTTCACCCCCAAACCCTAACGCAGGTAGGAGCGCGGGAAGCAGCAGGGGCGGTTCACGGAGGGAAAGGGAGGAGGCGGGGGGGTCTCCTAGGCGCCACGAAGGAGCAGGGCGCGGGCCCCCCGAGGGCGCCACGGCTGGTGACGGGAGGGGGGCCACGCACGGGCCCTCGAGGGCGGCTCGACGGGCGACGGGAGGGGCCGCGCGCGGGCCCCCAAGGCGCCGCGACGAGGCGACGGGAGGGGGCGGCGCGCGGGCCCCCAAGGCGCCGCGACGAGGCGACGGGAGGGGGCGACGCGCGGGCCCCCAAGGTGCCGCGACGAGGCGACGGGAGGGGGGGACGCGCGGGCCCCCAAGGAGCCGCGACGAGGCGACGGGAGGGGCCGGCGCGCGGGCCCCCGAGGCGCCACGACGGGCGACGGAAGGGGGGCCGCGCGCGGGCCCCCACGAGAGCGCCACGACGGGTGACGGGAGGGGGTGGCGCGCTGGCCTCCGGGGCGCCGCGACGAGTGACGGGAGGGGGCAGCGGGCGGGTCCCCTGAAGACGCCGCGACGGGCGACGGGGGGCAGCGCACGGGCCCCCTGAAGGCGCCTCGACGGACGGTTAAACCGCCACGCGCCCCGAGCGCGCGGCGGGCAGAAAAAGCCGCCACGCGCTCGGAGCGCGTGGCGGAAAGAAAATAACACGTCGCGCACCACGGGGCGCGCGACAAACAGAACGACAGCGGAAGCAGTTGGTGGGCCCACAGGCCAGGAGCGTAAATGCTCTGAAACCATGTCAAAATAGTAGGCACGATGAGGAGCCATAGCTAGGGTTTACCTAGCTAGGCAAGAGAGAAATGAGCAAAGGAGGGTTTGACTAGCAATAGTTGGGATACAAATAGGAAACCCTAAGGGGCCGTACTCACTACAGAGTACCCCACTGCAGGCTAGACAAGCATTATAATCTGACACGGAGATGCGCGGTCCGAAAAGAAAGAGGCTCTAAATACCAAGTGTTACGGGTGCAATGGATCGAAGTAGCGAGGATTGCACTAAGATGTGAAACGAGTACAAAATGTGAGCGAAGGAATGAGCGAACATTTATACGCGAAACATGCAAAACGGTAACGCGGTACGTGCGAGCTAGCTAGTGCTATGCTGGAAGCGAGGCCCGGGCTAGTCCCGAAGCGTAGGCCGACACGGCCAGGCCAGCAGTGCGAGGTTTGGTGAAACAGTGCGCGCGAAGTCGGCGAAGCCCCGTTAGCAGTAACGGGCGAACAACTGCTGCTGCTGTACGCGATGTTGCAGGGCGCGCTAAGGAATATCGAGAAAATTCCTTACAAACACCAAAATAAGAGAGGTACCTACCTTATCTTCTCATTTCCCCTTAACAAACCCACAAAAGGTAACACGTGGTTAAAAAAAATCCTGGAAGCTGCAACATGCCAGTAAGGTATGGTGTCTACTCCCATATTACATCAGACAACTATGCACCTCCAGATGCTCCGTCATTCGCATCACCAGCTCCATTCTTCCTCAGACCCGCCTCAACCACCCCAGTTGCCACACTACCTGCACCCGAAGAGATGCCTGTGCCATCAGCGTCATGAGGGACAGAAGCCGGGTCTGGAAACTGTAAAATATCAGGCGATGGTAATAATGGCAGGCTTGCGAAAGGGTCTGGCGAGCTTGTAGTGGCTGCTGCCGAGTGGGCTGCAGGCAGGGCTGCTCCTGCAACCAGCGGGGCAGATATTGCTGCCACCGCAGCCGCAGATGCTGGTACTGCTGCTGCTGTCCCTCCTTCTGTAGATGCAACTGCTGCAGGTGAAGCTGATGATGAATCTTGTGCGGCTGGTGCTAGAGTAGCTGCCTCTGAGTCTGCAGCTGAAACCGATCCTGCTGCCGCTGGCAATGATGTTGCACCTTCTGGAGCTGATGCTGCTGCTACTTGTGCTGTCAGTGGTGCTGTCTCAGCTGGAGACTGTGCCTGGGAGGGGGGAAAGGTGCTGGCCATGTGGTGAGTCGCTGGGAATTCAGAGGGATATGAGGAGGCAGCAGGAAATGGGTGGATACTTGGTAGCGGGTTGATGGGATAAAGACCAGCAGAGGAATCAGCAGCAGCTGCAGTGCCATCACCAGCACCAGCACCAGCAGCAACACCCACACCAGCACCAGCACCCCCGCCTGCACCCGCTGCTGCTGTGGCATCTGTGGCTGTAAAGAGGGAGTCAGGAGAGGGGCCCTGCATATCACCAGTATAAGGAGAGCATGACGACATGTACGGGGTGACGTCAGGTGTACCCATGGGGTTGTGAGTGGTGTGAGTAGTGTGGGAATTCCATGCGTAAGGAGCAGAAGAATCTGCATTCCCTTCCTGGAATGCATCGTCCCCTGGCGGAGAGGGATGGTCTGAGGGAAAGGAGGAGGAGGAGTCTTGGGGTGCGAATGAGAGCAAGGCTTGGAGCCTCTGCTGCAAAGGGTCCATGTCTATGTCACCCGCCGCTGCTGCTGCTGCTGCTGCTGCTGCTGCTGCTGCTGCTGCTGCTGCTGCTGCTGCTGCTTCCTCCACCGCCTGCTGTTGCTGCTGCTGATAGTGTTCCTTCTGCTGCTGCTTCTCCTGCTCCTGCTGCCGCTCCTGTTGCTGCTGCTGCTGCTCCTCCTCCTGCTGGCTCTGTTGCCCCTGTGTCCCAGTACTTGCAGCAGGGTGTGATGGAGCGTCGGAAGAGGCAGAATGAGTGGACGGCGCGGAAAAGGAGGAGTAGGGAGGAGCAGAGGGGTGAGTGGGCGCAGAGGGAGCAATGAGCGGCACCAGCTGCTGCAGATGCGCTGCTTGGGCCAGCCTGGTGGGGGGGGAGAGCACAATAAGGGACCAAGGAAATACGGTGGGGGATGCAGTAGCGGCAGGAAACGGAAGGCAGGCATGAGTAGTATGACCATGGTTGTGGGAGGGAGTGTGCATGGATAACGAGAACTCACCATTTGAAGCCCATGGAGTGAAGGTGAAGCAAGAAAGGCAACGACATGCCAGGCAGCAAAGGCTACGGATCAGATTCTCCCACCCCAAGCATCCCCTGGTCCCATCTCCTAATGCTGCTCCCATTCTCCCCCCTAAAGAATTACTCCCATCCCATCCCATCCCATCCCATCCCATCCCATCCCATCCCATCCCATCCCATCCCATCCCATCCCATCCCATCCCATCCCATCCCATCCCATCCCATCCCATCCCATCTCATCCCATCTCCCCCCACCCCTTACCTTGCAGCCTCCATCTGCCACTTGTCTGCCTCGCCCTTCCACAGCACTGCCACCCTCACCGCATCCTCCCTTGCTGCCTCCGCCCCCTCCGCCCTCACTCTCTCCCTCTCCGCTCTCTCTGCTTCCCTCTCCGCCCTCTCTCTCTCACTCTCCGCCCTCGCTCTCTCCTTCGCCACCTCCCCCCCCCCACTCCCTTCTCCTCCTGCTCCACCTGCACCAGCAACACCACCAGACGCACCACCAGAAGCAGCACCACCAGCACCACCACCAGCAGCAGCACTCGCAGCAACCTCCTCTTTCATCTTCCTCATCGCCTCCCTCATCTCCTCAACCTCCCTCGCCAGCCTCTCTGCCTTCTCCTCTGCAGCATCAGCCCATGCCAGCTGCACCTTCAGCCTCTCCTGAGCGGCCACCTTCGCCCCCACTGCAGCTGCCATCTGCTTTTCTGTCTCACTGAACCGTCCCTCCATGTCCGCGCATAGCTTGCTCGCAGAGTGCTTCAATGCGTCCCGCTCCTTTGTTGCTGTCGTCGCTGCGTCTGCTGCTGCATCTGCTGCCGCTGCTACCTCCTGTGGTTAGGGAGGGGACGGAGAGGGGAGGGGGAGATCAGTGGGTTTAAGGGGAGCAACAGAGATGGGAGAAGGGAGAAACGAGGAAGGGAGGAAGTGTGGAAACAGGTGCTGCCAGAGATGCCATGAGAAGGAAAAACAGAGCAAACCCACGCTGCCTGCTCACCTAATGCTGCTTAAAATCTTCCTCAAGTGACACCTTCAAAACATTTCCAGCAAATGCACAATCCCTTCAATCCACAGCCATTCTTCCACCCCTCTCCCTCTCTCTTCTCCCATTCTCATCCCCCACCCTCTCCCCCTCTCCTCTCTCTCGCCAACCTTCCCTCTTTTTCCCTTCTCCCATCCATCCAACCCAACCCCTCTTTTGGCCCCAGCCCCCACGCACCTCCAGGCGAGCAGCGAGCTCCTGGATGGTGCTGTCTCTCTCCCTCACGATGCCCCACAGCTGCCTCATCTCTGCATCCTGTGACCGAATGGTCTGCCACGCAACAAGGGCAGATGGCAGATGAGAGGGACAGCGGCAGGCGCGTTGGTGGAAGGCAGGGAGGGAGAGAGCAGGGCGGGGGGGGGGGAAGAAGGGGAGGAGATTACTAGGGATAGGAACCAGATGTGCACTAAATCATTCTCTCTTTCCCTTTGCCCCAAAGGTGCCTCATCTCTGCATCTTGTGACCGAATGGCCTGAGAGGCAACAAGGGCAGTTGGCAGTTGGGAGGGGGCCAAGGCACGTTGTGGGGGGGAGGGCCGAGAGGGAGAGAGCGGGTAACGGGAGGGTGGGGGGGCGGGCAAAAGGCGTTCACTTGGGATGAGAGTGCTTTGAATATCCTTCTTCCCACCCCCCACAGCTGCCTCATCTCTGCATCCTGCGACCAAATGGTCTCACAGGCAAAGGGCAATTGACATTTGAGAGGGATAGGGGCAGGCACGTTGGGGGAGGGCCGGGAGGAAGGGTGCAGAGCAGGGCAGTAGGGAGGGGGTGGTTGAGGGGGGAGAAAGGGTTTACTTAGGATGGGTACTGCTGCATCCTGCGATCGACCAGCCTTGTGGTGTGCACGGGGGTTGGAGACTAACATGAGGTGCCCATGGGGATGCGAGATGCAGCAACCGGAGGGGGAGGGGGTGGGGAACTCGAAAGAAGCACATTGCGGGAGAAGGAAGCAGCAACGGAGTGGTGGGCGAGAAATGATGATGAAGTGAGCAGAAGGAAGGTGGCCTTCGACAGGAAGAGTGGGAGAGTTTGCCTCCTGCACCCCCCAATTCACTTCTCACAGCCCCAAGGAGCCACGAAAGGCAAGGCCAGCTTCAGCTCGCCAGCTACAACTCACAAGTCTCCTGAAACCTGGCTGGCATCTGCTGCCATCTTGCCTGCCCCCCCCAAACCCCCCCAAGCCCCTGCAAGCCCCCCCAAGCTCCCCCAAGCCCCCCCAAGCTCCCCCAAGCCCCCCCAAGCTTCCCCAAGCCCCCTCAAGCTCCCCCAAGCTCCCCCAAGCTCCCCCAAGCCCCCCCAAGCTCCCCCAAGCCCCCTCAAGCCCCCCCAAGCTCCCCCAAGCTCCCCCAAGCTCCCCCAAGCTCTGATAGTCTGTGCGAGGGATCTTCGAGTCCTATCAGCAATCAGAGGTGATCCCTGCCTGCCTGTTTCTGACCACTGCTCCCTCCCTTTCTCGCCACCCTTACCTTGACCAGCTCTGCTGCAGCTGCAGCATCAGCGGATGGTGCTACTGCTCCTGCTCTTGACTGCTGCTGCTGCTGCTGCTGCGTTTTGATCTCCTGGTCCTTCTGCCTTGCTTGGGAAGAGGCAGCGGTCGCAGAATGAGATGATGGAAGCAGTGCGGAGGTGGGGGAGGAAGAGGAAGAGGCAGAGGCAGCAGAGGATGAGGGGAGAGAGCGCGAGGCAGCTAAGGAGGAAGGGAGCATGGTGGGGGAAGATGCAGCGGGCTGGGAATCGAGAGAGGGGTTGCGTGTGTAAGAGGGGGGCGAGGGCTGGGGTGGTGGTGCGAAGAGGGGGAGGGAGGAGAGTATCCCTGCTGTTGCCGCGTTCGCCTGAACTGTCTTCTGATTCGCCGCTGCTACCTCTGGTGCTGCCTTGCGTGCCGTTTCATTGGCTGCTGCCGTCGCAGCTGCCACTGCGCCTGCTCAAGCAACACGGGGGGGGGGGGGGTGGGGGGGGGAGAAGAAGCGGAGGCGGGGGTGGAGAGGGGGGAGAGGGGGTCGTGTGGTGTGGTGTGGTTGGGAGAGGAGGGGGGGGTGAGAGAGGAAGGGGAGAGAGGGGAGGTTGACTGGGACAGGTTAATAAGCCGGAAATCCAGGCCAGGAGCAAGGCGGGGGAATAACGAACACCTTCCTAGTGCAAGGATATACGTGGACGTGGAGGGATGGAAGGCCAGCCTTCCTTGCAGGACCATAGTGCACATGCGATGCCAAGGAATGCAGGCGGAAAGCAAGCAATACAAGCATTACGAGCAGTACGAGCAGTGCGAGCAGTGCGAGCAGTGCGAGCGGAAGGCACCTGTGGCACGGGGAGTGGAGGAGGAGCCGAGTGCGTTGACCTCCTCCCGGTGTGCCTTGAGCACCAGTGCACATGCACTGGGAGGAGCAGCACAGGCACCGGCAAGAGAGGACGGGGCGTTGAGGGACGGGCATGGAAGGCGGGGGATGGAAGGAGGGGCATGGGTAGGGATGATGTGAGGCAGGGAGGATGCATGCACACATGGCTGCTTGCCTAGTGTTGACTGCTGAAAGGAATGGCTTGACGAGGATACGATAAATCCTCATGCCTAGTACTCCTTCTTAACTGCCGTGCATACAATAACTCTTTTCATGTAATCTGTAAGACAACTCTGCTCTGCACACAGACTGCACACCACTCCCATACCGCACAGTGCATGCATCCAACGCACTGCACCCATACATACCGCAGAGTGGAGACCCACGCCCTGGCGGCACCAGGCGTCTCAGCGCACAGAAAGTACTCCTTCTTGCCCGCCGTGCCCACATCTGATGCGCAGCACAGCACAGCACACCAGGAGACATGGACGGGCAGGGGAGGGAGGGAGAGGGGCGGGTTGGGGTGGGGGTGTAAATGGGAAGAGGCGGGGCAACGGGAGGAGGGTGAGGGTGATGGTGATGAAGGCAACAAGTAGGTAGGTAGAGAGAAGAAGAGCTAGTGAAGAACACAGACACAGATTGCCACACCACGCTGCCCTGGGTTTGCACGTGGCCGGCCGGGATCTGGCTGACATGTGGATGAACCAGGCTGGATACTTGAGGGATTTCTCAGGTCGGGTACCAGTATTGTCTCGCTGTGTGTTTAAAGCCACGTGTGTGTGTGTGTGTGTGTGTGTGTGTGTGTGTGTGTGTGCTGTGTTCTGGCGGCATGGCATGCATAACTGGCCTTCTGACCACATGCCCAACAACCACCCTGATATGAGACGCCTCGAGAGAATTCTGACATGACATGACACTATGCTAGACCCGTGCACCATGAGGTGACTTTTGAGTCGACTCAAAAGTCCCTTCTGACCACATGCCCGACAACCACCCTGAGAAGCCTCGAGAGAATTCTGGCATGACACTATGCTCGACCCGTGCACTGCACGAATGGCCTCTCAAATGCCACTTGCCACTTGCCACGAAGATGTGACATACCGAGAAGAGGCACGCAGTTGCCGCCACCTTATGATGGTTCATACAAGGACTCAGCCAGTCAGAGGTTTCTAAAGAGCAACTAGCCCAACAGTCGAAACATTCACCCAGATGTTTGTCTCAGAAGGAACCGGCACGTTTCGGCCATGTGTGTTTGCGAAAAAACGAGAGAAGGAAAGGAAAACGAGGAGAGGAATGCGTGAGAGGATGCGAGGTGGTGGGACTGACTTACAGAAGCAGCAGTTCTCGTACTGCTTGGCCCCACTGCACACGAATAGAGGCACACACATGGGGACACACGATCGCACAAGAACAGGCGCACACATTAACACAAAAGCACACACACACACCTTCGTGCCCTCAGTCCTCATTACTATCTCCCCGCAAGAACAGACCGAGGAGCTCCAATACTTCTGGGAGTCCGGGACGCCTAAAAAGGCACAGAGGTGCTCGAAATTCCATCAAACATCATAGGTAGTGGCCCCACAAATAAGGGCGAACAGGTACGGAGGTGAATTGACTCTGATTTGGAGAAGGAGCACAGGTCACATGCATGCACATGGATACATGCATGCACACGGATGTTTGCACACAGATGTTTGCACACAGATGTTTGCACACGGATGTTTGCACACAGATGTTTGCACACAGATATTTGCACACGGATGTTTGCACACAGATGTTTGCACACGGATGTTTGCACACGGATGTTTGCACACAGATGTTTGCACACGGATGTTTGCACACGGATGTTTGCACACGGATATTTGCACACGGATGTTTGCACGCGGATGCATGCATGCACATGGATGCATGCACGCGGATGTATGCACACGGATGCATGCACACGGATGTATGCACACGGATGTATGCACACGGATGTTTGCACGCGGATGTTTGCACACAGATGTTTGCACACGGATGTTTGCACACGGATGTTTGCACATGGATGTTTGCACACGGATGCATGCATGCACATGGATGCATGCACGCGGATGTATGCACACGGATGTATGCACACGGATGTTTGCACACGGATGCATGCATGCACATGGATGCATGCACGCGGATGTATGCACACGGATGCATGCACACGGATGTATGCACATGGATGTATGCATATGGATGTATGCACACAGATGTTTGCACACGGATGTTTGCACACGGATATTTGCACACGGATGTTTGCACACGGATGCATGCATGCACATGGATGCATGCACGCGGATGTATGCACACGGATGCATGCACACGGATGTATGCACATGGATGTATGCATATGGATGTATGCACATGGATGTATGCACATGGATGCATGCACACGGATGCATGCACACGGATGTATGCACATGGATGTATGCACATGGATGTATGCACATGGATGTATGCACATGGATGTATGCACATGGACGTATGCATATGGACGTATGCACATGGACGTATGCATATGGATGTATGCACATGGATGTATGCATATGGATGCATGCACATGGATGCATGCACATGGACATACCATGAGCAGCAGCACTTACTGCAGGTTGATGGGCGACACAGTGATGGTGCTGTCTGCCTCAAAGTGAATGATTCCGCGTGCATGGACGTCACTGCGCTGAATCCTGCACCCACCGCACCACACCGCACCGCACCGCACACAAGCAAGCACCAGACAACATGCGGATGGGCCTAACAGCGAGTACTGGAGCAAGGAACAACGTAACGAGCACAATTCCCGACCACGCTCCCACAATCTTCCCCTATCCTGCGTTCTCTCACGCACCTTGTCCATCTCTCACTCCTGTTTATCACCCTCCTTCCCCCTTCCCCTTTCCCCCCTCCCTCCGCAACCCTCGTCTCTCTCTACTCCCTTCCTGTCTCCCCCCCCTTTCCCTCACGCTCAACCACCTTATGAATCTAATCTTCACGTCTCTTCCATCTGTCTGTTGGGTTATAGAGCCAGTTAGACCTTGACGTGCCGTGAATCGCATGTACACCCAGTACACGATAGTATTAAGATCCACCTGTACGTATGAAGAGCTACCTGTATATTCAGTATAAGACGCACCCTGTAGCCGGAACAATACCACCATGTATGTACCACATATAGAACCACCCAGTGCACTCGATAAGACCCACCTGTACTCGATAAAAGACGCACCTGTACTCCATACGCGCTGTCAGCGGATCTAGCACGAACCATCGCTGGTTCCAAAGGTGCAGCTGCAAGAGATACGGACGGATGGGGAGTGAGTGGGGGACAATACAGCCATGCCAAAATAAAACAGGTGTGGCCACCAATGGAAGCAGGGACAAAAGAAGGGGCCGAGAGGGAAGAGAAGGGGTGATGTGATGGGCCAAGAGCGCGGTCAAGACAGCTCAAGTGTGTGTACGACACAGCTGGTCTCTGTCACAGAGGCTGCTGTGGGTGCTGCTTCTGCTGCGCACAGAAATTGCAAGAGGCAGAGGAAGAAAACACTCGACTCCAAAAACCTTCAAAACTCAGTTGACTTGAAAATTGTCAATAATGAAAAGTAACTTCTCCCAAATCATCGTCAATACCTAAGCAGTCCCGTGCTCCTCAGAGAAAGGCGTCAAGCGAACATGTCACCTCGTCCCAACCATCTGAATCTGCCTTCTCGCCCGTAACTCCTCCCCTTATTATCTTCCCGTTACCCTCTCCACTCAGCCTTTCCCTGTCTATCCCGTCACGAGCACCGTTCTCCCCACGCTACATCGTCAACAACTCCCTCCTCCCTCTTCCCCCTCTCCCGCTCCACACCTCCCCTCCCTTCCCAGCCTCCTTACAGTCTCAGATCGCTTAAGCAGGTACCCCTGTATTGGCACGCTTCCCGCACGTGGAGCCAGTTGCCGCTGAAGCCGCTGCAACTCCGCGTGCTCGTCCGCCTGCCCCTGCGCTGCGCGCGCAGCTGCGCCAAATCCATGCTCCTGTGTAGTCCCGCCAACGGATCCGTTTCCCCCGTCGTCTGCGCTTTCCGGCGCCTTGCCGCCTGTGGGCTGCCGCATAATGGGAACCAATGGTGTGACGTAATATGACAACAAATGTCAAAACTGCTTGCAACCATGCGCAAGTTGGTGACTGCGTTTCTTTGGACGCGAAATTGGAGGTGGATGGCAAGGAGTATCCTCGTTACAACCTGCGTGTGGTACTAAACAAATACTGAACCCTTACGAGCACTACATAAATCCCTCCTTTCCCTAGTTCTGGCTACTTGTGTTTGGTACTCTTTTTAGCCTGCCTTGAGGTTAGGTGGATGAAGGTATTCTCAAAGGCAACTTTAGCTAGTTATTGCACAAGGTCTGACAACGAAGTACATATCCTTGCACTTGGGCACCGAGGTGTCAATGAGCACCAGTCAAGATCTCGTAAACATGCAGCTCTGCACAGCTACAAGACCAGACAGAATGTCCATCCATATTCCATACGTAAGTCTAAACAATTATACTCACCATCACCCACACCAGACTACTCATAATAATAACCTAGGTGCTGCAGCATGAGGACTTAGCAGGAACTGGCTTGGCAGGTTCACCGCCTGAAGGAAGGACAATCTTGGTGCCTGGACCCACCGTGTTGCTCGAGCTTGCCTCTGTGTCCAAAGCTTTGCGGCTGACGATCCGATAAATCTCCGTCAATACCTGGGTGAAAGCCTCCTCCACATTGAGGGCTTCAAGAGCAGATGTTTCAATGAACGCCACACGGTTTGCTTCCGAAAACTCTTTTGCCTCAGCAGTGGTCACCTGACGCTGGTCCTCCAGATCAGCCTTGTTTCCCACAAGCATAACAAAGATATTGGAGTCAGAGTGGGCACGGAGCTCGTCCAGCCATCGACCACAGTGTTCAAAAGTGATGCGCTTGCTGATGTCGTACACCAGGAGAGCACCCACTGCTCCGCGATAGTATGAGCTGGTAACAGCGCGATACCTGAAAGTTGGAAAATAATGTATGCAAAAAGGACATCGTTAGCAACATATCTCCGTTTCAAAATAGGTAAGCTCTAGTCAGTGAAAATGGTAATTCAAGCTTGGCCACACGACCAGACTTCGCACGAAGGAGTAAGGGGAGAAATGAGAATGAGAACGAGTAAGAGGTTGAGTGAGTGTGTGGGAGAGAGGGAGAGAGAGAAAGAAATGGAGAGATCCGTTACGACGGCGAAAAAACGGTACTTTGTGTTGCGTAGGAAGACCAATAATTGATTGGAAAAAAAAAACGCTAGGACAGGATGCTATGGAGTCCATTGCGCGTAGGCACCCCGTCAAGCAAGACTCAAACAAGATCTGCACAGACGTTTTTTCGATTTCTTAATAACGCATGGACGACGTAAAACTGCGAGACAGTTTGTCAGCGTATAGATGGTGAAAAAACAGCTAGATCTCAGGATAACGAGAAATTGATGACACAAATCAGAACGCAGACAAGCTTGCCTAGGATGTACGTTAACAAATAGAAGTCGCAAGATTCACATTCTAACATGAAAGACAACGAATGAGCAAGGACGCAGAAGCCCGACATGACTGAAAAAGGCAGAGCGGTTATACAATACAAATGAGTTCCGAAGGTGAAGAGAAGTCCCGAGAAATAAGGGGGACGTATGGGGTCAATGGTAAGCATGATGCGGGTTGTGATCGTCTACTGACAGAAATGGGCAAGTTAAAAGTAATAGGAAATCAAGAAAAACAAGCTATACCTTTCTTGACCAGCTGTATCCCAAATTTGGGCCTTGATGACCTTCTTGTCGACGACTATCGTTTTTGTTTGAAACTCCACTCCGATGGTCGCTTTAGACTCCAGCG